GGGGATCAGCGAAAGGAGGAAAAAGGGAAAAAAGAAACACAAAAGAAGCCGGGCCCCGATGGCCACTGGCTGGGCGGCAGGGAACGCGCGTACCGGTAGCCACAATGGCAATACCACCGAAGAAGTTCAGCACCAGGGTCGTGAGCATGACAAAGTTCAAGAAGTAGGCCTTCTTCGCCAGGGACTGGTAGGGGGTCGGGATGTCGCCCCTTGGGGTGGGGAGCGAGGGGGAGGAGGGGAGAAGCGGCGCCAAGATAATCGCACGCGTCAATACTCACGATTGGCCATGGCCGGGTGGACAGCGGGGGAGGAGGAAAGCCGGGGCCAGGCGAGCGCACTGAATCGAGTGGTAGATCATCGGCCGGAAGGGCGGCCAATTCGGTGCCGGGGTGGACCCAGAGACGACTGGCTGGCTGGTGGCCGCGGCAGCGGCCGCCGGGGCCGGCGTGTCCGATGAGCTGTCATACATGGATGCCGTGTTGTCGCTGGTGCCATAGGCCCCGCCAATGGGGGCAAACCCGCCATGACCGGAGCTGGACGTGTCATACGCATTGGGGAACGGGGTGCCCGAGTCGTAGGCGCTGGTGTGCGAGGTGCCATAAGCACCGCCCTGCGTGGCGGCCGCGGACAGGAGGGCTGTGTCGTCGGCGCCCGACGCGTCAAACGGGTTGGACATGGCAAGGAAGTGGAGGCGGAGGGGGGTGGAGGGGGGAGGGGAGGAGGGGGGGGGGGAGGAGAAGGTAGTGGGAAAGATGCGATGCCGCTTTGCTGGCGGCACCTCCAGAAAATGGACCCCCCCCCCCCCACGTCTGCATCTTGCGCACACGGCCAGTGTGCAGCGAATGCTCCCTGCCCCGCTTCGATGACAAGGCTGCCTCGGTCGCCGGCGACGATGTTGTTGTTGTTGCTGTTGTTGTTGCTGTTGCTGTTGCTGTTGCTGTTGCTGTTGCTGTTGCTGTTGCTGTTGCTGTTGCTGTTGCTGTTGCTGTTGCTGTTGTTGACATTGTCCTTCTTCGCCGCGAGGGGCGTAACATGCACATGCATTCAGTCGTCATTCGCACCCTCCTGCTCGGAATCAGGCGGCATCCTCCTCGGCGCACCCACCAAGGCTCTTTCTTGGGCCTCTCACACGCCCCCCCCCCCCCCCCCCCCCCCCCCCCCCCCCCCCCC